GATTAAGTCCCAAGTGGTTGTTTCGGGCAGTCAAAAGTCTACCGTGAGCCTTCTACTACCGTAGGTCCTAATAAGGGATCCATTAGCGGCGGACAAAATAGGGGAAGGTTGGGCGAACAGGGATTCTGTAGTCGTTGGTGTAATAACACTAACTCCGGCCCCCGTATCCACTAAAAAATAAGTCCTGGTAAACCTATCTTGTACATGAAAGAGGCGGCTACCGGGTTAAGGGCCAACGGGTATTGCCGCTCCTACTGGTTGGCCGTTTCTTTTCCCTGCTTACTGGACCCCGACCATTGACACAGGCCAATGCATCGGCGTGCTTGGGCACCACATTTGTGGTGGTACCAACATAAGGGTCTGCTGGGTGAAGGCGCGGGAAAGTGCCTAGAGCTGACCGGCTTTGGGACCGGTGGAATCGTTGATGAGGCTGTGTGTTGGCCTGTTCAACTCTGTTTAGGCGAGCCGAAATAGCGGCCAGTTAAATGGCAATGACATTTAACTAATCGGCTGTTTCGACTAGGGTAGAACAATTTAGGGAGGTTCCCTGAGAATAGAAAGCCATATCAATGTCAGCTACATCGGCCGCAGCGCCGAGAGGACAACCAACGCAAGGTGCCAGGACCATGCATAAAGCCTTTGGCAGCTTCTGAACCCAAAGTTCACGAAGCAAGTTTTCTTCGACCTTAAAAGGGGTGAGGTCTTACTGTATGTTGCACAAGAGTTAGGAAGGCTTAAGAGAGCCCAGGGTCATTCCCTGGACTACGTTCCTCATTTTCTCTTGCGCAGACAAGCCGGTACGTGTTAAGACAGCGTCTCGCACAGTTTCGTAGGGACGCTTTTCCGGGACGGGATTGATGATGTCAAAAACATGTTCTGCAACATCTAAGGGTAGAGCTTGCAATACGTGGTCAAATGTGGAATCGGACTGAAAAATTCCTCAGGTCGAGGAATGGGATTCGATCACGGAAAGCCACACATGGTAAAAGGGCGGACGAGTGAAATTGACCGCAGTTAGAACAATCGGATTCTGTTAAATAGAGGTGATTTTTTTTGACTTGGTGATGAGTTGGAATATAGCTGACTAAACACAGCCAAAAATAGAACCGTAACAGTAATTTCGTAAAACTACCCAAATGGAGCAAAACGAAAAAATATTTTCTAAAAATAAATTATTTACATCCGGCGTAGCACAAAAGAATATATGTATATAAATCGAGAAAAATAAAACACGGTTGGTTATGGAAAACGAATATCCACAGAAATGTTTCAATAACCAGAAAAATGAAACGGGCACACCAGTTTAGAGATAGGGGATGCAATTTCGCGACTTGCGAAAGCGGTCTGATCTCTAATTCTCCCGTGTTTCTCCATCACCTGGTATGGATCAGGAAGAACAGCCGGTTGGTTGAGGGAAAGTATATTGCTACCTAAAAGCACCGGAGTCTTTGCCCGACCACGCTCGAAAGTGTCTGGAGGCGAAAAATGCTTAGATAGAGAAGGCTGTAGTAACATTATTTTCACTTTCCACCATCATTCCTCTGACTCATGTAAAGACCCTATTTTGTTTTATTGCCCTCCGTTTCGAGAACACATATTACTTCCAGCTCGGCACAATTTCCGGTGAGTTGTGTCGTGCGCTTTGCTCTCTGTACACTCTTCACTGCATGTCACATTATACTACAAACGATCGTACCGGACTTCCTTCTCGATCCGTACTCACTCCAGGGACCGTTCAATAAGCCCGATCTGTTGGAATCGTTAGCCCGTCGTAACTCCGGCCCGACATAGAGTGTTAAATTGGTGAGCACGAGTTTATTTACCCCGTTTCCTTTTAGCACCCTACTGACTGCAATTCTGCAGTGAGTCTTCCATACAACATATTTTGTATCCGGCGTAT